CTGCAACCTCCTCCTCCTCCCAGGTTCAAGTGATTCTCAGCCTCCCGAGTAGATGGGACTACAGGTGTACGCCACCACGCCCAGCTAATTTTTGTATTTTTAGTAGAGATGTGGTTTCACCATGTTGGCCAGACTGGTCTCGAACTCCTGACCTTAGGTGATCCACCCACCTCGGCCTCCCAAAGTGCTGGGATTGCAGGCGTGAGCCACTGCGCCCAACCCGAGATACTATGTAAATCTTCATCTGTAATAATAATTTCTTTTAATAGCATTTGTAACATTTCCTCATTGTTAAATGAGAAAATACACAATTTCTGAAATTTTCTCAACATAAGCCTCTTTCAAAGTTGGTGGCTATTCACCCAAAAGTATACAGATGATTCCGAACTTAACATGGTTTGAACTGGGATTTTTCAACTTTACAAGGGTGCAAAGCTGATACACATTCAGAACGCTCTACTTCAAGTACACATACAACCATTCTGTTTTTCATTTTTAGTACAGTATTCAACACTCTGTCACAAAGTAGAATTTGTGTTGGATGACTTTGCCCAACTGTAGGCTAATGTGTGTTCTGACCACGTTTATGATAGGCTAGGCTAAGCTATAATGTTCCACAAGTCAGGTATATTAAATGCACTTTAGACTTCTGATATTTTCAATTTACAATGGGTTTATGAGGAGCATCTGTACTGACAAAGAATTAGCAGCAACATTATACATGAAATACAACTGTTACGACTTTCTTAAAAGATCAAATATAAATTATGACAATAATTTTCTCAAGATCAGATACTTACACATCAGCCAAAACTATCCGCGTCCGTGTCACATTCTCTATGGTGAATTTGGTTTTTCCTCCTTTGCCAGCGATTCTTCCTATTGCCCTGGATAGATGGTCTCCCTTTAGGGGTTTAACTAAACAAGAAAAGCAACATCTCAGGAGGCAAGCCATTCTAGTGCACCACCCACTTCCACATGAAGTTTAATTATAAACTAAATTTCTCTAAATGACACAAAGTGTATATATACATATTAAAAAGTTGCTAAAAATACAGCTCAATTGACGCTATTAGAAAACTGAGAGTCACATCACAATACAAAGTCAGCGACACAAGAGCACAGACCACCACACACTCACCATCTGTAATTTCAAAAGACTCTAGGAAGAGGTCATCCAACCTGATGAGGGCAAGTGCATCCTATAATATAAAACAAACACTGTGAAGCCCCTTCCGTTTGCACACCTGAAAAAGAGTAAAGTACAAAGCACTATGGAACGAAAATCCACAAACTCTAGAGCTAGAAAGCTTTTTTTTTTTGGAGACACAGTCTTATGCTGTCGCCCAGGCTGGAGTGCAGTGGCGTGATCTTGGCTCACTGCAACCTCTGCCGCCCAGGTTCAAGTGATTGTCCCACCTCAGACTCCCGAGTAGCTGGGACCACAGGCTTGTGCCACCACACCCGGCTAATTTTTTTGTAATTTTAGTAGAGATGGAGGGCATCGCCATGTTGGCCAGGCTGGTTTCGAACTCCTGGCCTCAAGTGATCCACCTGCCTCGGCCTCCCAGAGTGCTGGGATTACAGGTGTGAGCCACTGCGCCTGGCCTTTTTTTTTTTTTTTTTTTTAATGCCTAATCCATTGAGATGTTCACATTGAGTATTTTTCAAGTCCCTATTTTAGATATCATAGAATTACTCACCTCCACCTGAAAGCCTAGAATAAAAGCTTTCACAAAATCAGCTGCTTTTGTCAGAGCACTAACATCTTTGGTTTCTTTACAAGTCTGTTAAAAAACAAAAAAAGGTACAAAATACCGTTGAGACTCAAACAGAAAATGTCTTAACGAAATACTAGAAATGTCCTTTCCCATTATCAGAGAATTTCCTTCACCACCACCTTTCCCTAATATATTCTGTATGACACAGGTTCTGGTTGGGTAAGTGCTATATTTTATTGGCAAAACAAAACCTTTCCAGCTCCAAAGCTTGGCTGCTTCACCCAGAGAGTGTCAAATAACTAACCACACTATATGATCAGATTTGGGGGTTAACAGCAAGACTCCTCTGGCACAACCCAATTTCTTGCATTCTGAAGAACCCCTACCTTCTGTCCTTCCCTTCAATGCCCAAGCTTGTCCTCTTCTCTTCTCTCTCAAGGCAGTCTTCCCTGGGATTCCTGACTTAATCTTCTTAGTTATCAATTACATGCTGATGTTTCTTAAAGCAATAGCTCCAGGCCTAACTACCTGCACCCGCTGACTGGGGAAATAAAGAATGACTGAAGCACTGAACCTGTTCTCAAACTTTATTTGAGAAATGCAGAAATAACTGTTATTCATAAAATGCCTACCACTGTAAATAACACACACTGTAAATAACATGCACTATAAATAACATGCTTTACACACCGTAACTCTAACCCTCACAACAACTTTGAATGTTAAGTCATATGACTACCTTTGCATGTGAGGAAACTAAAGTACTAAAAAGCAAAAATGCTAAGATTCAAACACAGGTCTGATTTCAAAATTGTTATCTCCACTGTACCATGCACATTCACAATCTAGTTGAGGAGACCATGTACTCAACAAATTTAAAACCATATGGGCTTGTGTAATGGCAAAGTCCCCGGGGCTTTCCCATTTAGAACTAGACCCTAGTTCCAATCCTACATGTGACCTTAGACAAGTCTCCTAGTTACTTTAGGTCTTGAGTTTTCTCATCAGTAAAATAAGGAGGTCAGAGGAGAAGATCCTGAGTGTTCCCTACTAGTATAATAGGAAGTTTCCCTTATTAGCCTGATGACTATGGCCAAGTTTCCTCACATCTTTAAGATGGGAATATCCTGAAGACTAAATGATGTAGAGCATGTTGTAATACCACTATGTGTCTGGTATATGGCAGCATCAATAAATGTTAGTGGAATCCAAAGTGATTATCCTGCAATAAATAGCACAGTAAAGCACATGAAAAGTTTAGGCACTGAAGATATGACTGAAAAATGGACATTCTGGTATGAAACGGGCACCCAGAACAGAAAGCACAAAGTAAATTAATTTTAAATGTCTAGTTCCTGGATTGACGGCATAGAATTTAAAATACACATATATAGGCCGAGCAGGGCAGCTCACGCCTGTAATCCCAGCACTTTGGGAGGCTGAGATGGGCGGATCACCTGAGGTCAGGAGTTCAAGACCAGCCTGGCCAACATGCTAAAACCCAGTCTCTACTAAAAATACACAAATTAGCCAGGTGTGGTAGCAGGCGCCTGTTAACAGTGAGCCGAGAGCGTGCCACTGCACTCCAGCTTGGGCGAAAGCGCAAAATTAAAAAAAATATATACACACACACACATATGTGCATGTTTCTTATCAAAATAATAGTTTTATCAAAAAAGCACCATTAAAACACAGTCATGCACTGCATAATGACATTTTGATCAACGACCAACTGCTCATACCATGGTGGTCTCATAACAGTATAATGGAAAATATACAGAAATCTGATATATGGCACTGGATACTGGCAATGCAGATCAAGTAGATGAAATGACTGCTACTCAGTAATGGTGCTGGAACATTTGGTTTTCCATATGAAAAAATACATAAATATGCACATACCATCTAGGTTTGTGTAAATACACTCTTCGCACAAGGACTAAGTCATCTTACAAAACATATCCCATAACATATCCCCGACGCTGACTGTATATACTTCTTGTAAAGCACCAAGTACTTATGTTCATTATTTACTTACTTCTGTTTATGACAATCTCTTTACTCGACCTTTTCTGAATTTGACACAGAACATTACAAAAGATACACAGAAGCAGAGACAGTATTTTGGTACTAATTTACAAATTCAATTAATATTTGTATCAAACGCAGATTTTTAAGGCATTTGGGAAGTTCAAACTCAATATGGTAAGTTTTTAAACTGGACAAAAACTATTCAACACAATAAGTCCCATTAACTAAAGTCTATTCACGCCTTTTCATCTCTGTAGGAGAGAAAGCCTGGTGTATTGGGAAAGGGTTGAGATTTTCCTTACCCTGATTTCTACATTCCTTGATTTCAAGTTAAAACGTATCTGAAGTCCCAAATGTTCCACAATAGGAGTAAATATCTTCATCCAGTTTTCTTTCAATGGTGTGTATCTGTTAGCTGGGACTGGAATTTTCCTTGTTTCTTCTTTTCCACTCTGTAATAAAAGAACACACAACTCAAGAGGCTATGGAGGGATGGTGATGGAGTTGTAAAATAACATCTGATCCATAAAGGGCTTCCTTTAACTGAACTAGTTACACTTCAAAGAATCACTTCTCTCTGAGCATCGCGGCAGAACAGCCCCACCGCAGCTTCAACATTCCCCAGAGGCCACCGGCTTGATTCGCGTCTGGCCCCTGCCTGGTTGCTGTCCTAGGGTCCTAGCCACATACCAGGAGCCCGTCCCCACAGAGGGGTGGGAAGACGGGCCTCTTCGCCGGCCTGGCCTCCTCTGTGTCCATCCGGCCCGCATCCCCGCCCTCTCCCGCTGCGGACAGCTGTTCAGCCTGTCGTTTCTTCGCCCGCCGGCCACCCTTACGGGTGACCTGGGTAAAGCCCTCCTCTGCCCCGGCGCTCTGCGCTTCCATTTCGGATTCCATCCCCCGGAATCTTAAGGCGCTTCCGGCTGAAACACGTGCGCTGCTGCACCGCGCAGGACCCAGCCTCCGTCAACTAACCCCGCAGCTCCGCCCCTTTCCTGAAACGTCACAGGCCGGGGACCTGCAGGATTTGGGGCCGGGGGAAAACGGGATTTCGGCTGTCCTAAGGTATGCCTGATGCTCATGGTCTCACTCCAGCCGTGCAACTCCGAGCTCAAGCATTTTATAATCTCTAATATGTATGTGTGCGAAAGGCAGTGGGTAAAGGCAATAAAGAAATTTGTGCTGTTGTGAAGGAACATTCTGTGCGATCGCCAGAGCGCATCTGGCATTATCTAGAGATAACTACAGCCAACTTCCTAGGGCATCTGGGGCAGAATACGGAAAGCGGGAGGGACAAATTGACAATGTTTGGAGTCTGGTTTCCAGGTTAGTGTTTTGGGGGGCTTTGGGTGTGGCGGTTGTCAGAACTGAAATCGGCTGCACCATGTCGGCCTTCGAGAAGCCTCAGATCATCGCCCATATCCAGAAGGGCTTCAACTACACGGTGTTTGACTGTAAATGGGTGCCCTGCAGCGCCAAATTTGTGACCATGGGCAACTTCGCACGGGGCACCGGCGTCGTTCAGCTGTACGAGATCCAGCACGGGGACCTGAAGCTACTTCGAGAGGTGGGTGCCGGGTCGACGATCCGGACTGCCGCTGGGGGCGAGTGCGGATCCTGGGGTCTGCATTCCTCTTTGCCAGAGCCTTCGTCCAGCGTCCCCCAAAGCATGGCTTGAGCCGCGCGAGACCAGAGAAGCTGACCGCCGACTGAGGAATGTTTCCTATTTAAAACCTCTTTCTCATCCGCGGGGTAGTTCCTCCGCGCCCAACCCTCCTGCCACCCCAAGTGCAGTCCAGCCAAAGCGGGCACCAGGATGCCTGCGGTGTGGTTGGAAGAGGCAACCTAACACATTCGGCAGGTATCAGTTGAGTGCCTGGTATTCCTAGGCATGTGAATGGCAATGTCCCCGATCTCATGGAGTTTGTTTTCTAGTGGGAGAGATACTCAGTTCAATAATCAAAGCAACGATACATAAGTACAAACCGGGATGAGTTGTCTCACACAAAGGAACACGGTTACGGTTCAGTGAGAGTGAAAACAGGTTTGGGATGAGTGAAAACAGATTTTGGTATGTGCGGGAGCTAACTAGGCCAAACTAGGAGTAAAGGACACGGTTTCCAGGGCTTCTGCACATGCAGAAGCTCAGTGATGGGAAGAAGTTTATCCTCTTAAGAAACTAGAGGGATAAGCAGGAACCAGACATTGCAAGATCTGTAGGACATTCAAAGGAATTTATGCCTTTTTTCTAAGAAAAACGGGACACGATTGAAAGGATTTAAGCAGGGTGTGGAAAGATTAGGTTTACAACTTTTTGTTTTTGTTTTTGTTTTTGAAGATTACTAGTGAAAGAATTAGAGAATAATGATAGTAACTAGCATTTTGTAGCTGTTTATAGTTTTTAAAAAGTCTTGATTTCGGTTACCTGAAAAAAAAAAGATCAGTCATAGTCAGATCAGAGTTGTAATAGACTACAAGTGCAGGGTAGGTTAAGAACTCTGGGGATCAAAATCTGTGGAGAAAATCGGCTTGAAGGAGGTAGGGATTAAACTGGTAGATAAAGGATGGATACAATTTGGACTGTTACGCCTAGAATAAAAAGTATGTAAGACCCTATTCCGCTTTAAATTTTCCTGAATGACAAACATGAAACATGGCTTATTCTTTTTTACCTTTCCTTATATTGTTCATCACTTAGCTTCCAGTAACCAGTGGCTTTTTTTTTTTTTTTTTTGGAGACAGGGTCTCAATCTGTCACCCAGCCCGGAGTGCTGTGGTGCAAACACAGCTCACTGTCACTGCAACCTTCGCCTTCTCAGCTCAAGGAATCCTCCCACCCCAGCCTCCCAAGTAGCTAGGACTACAGGTGTGTGCCACCACACCTAATTATTTTGTACTTTTTTTTTTTTTTTTTGGTAGAGATTGGCTTTTGCCATGTTGCCCAGGCTGGTCTCCGACTCCTGGGCTCAAGCAGGCTGCCTGCCTCGGCCTCCCATAATACTGGGATTACAGGCGTGAGCCACTAAGCCTGGCTACCTGTTGCTATTCTAATGTCCAGTTCAGATTATCTAATGTATGATGCCCTTCCTGATTTCTACACAAAGGAAAATTTCTTTACATTGCATTTTGGGTTGTTTTTGTTTTTTGTTGTTGTTTAGAGATGGCGTAGCTCTGTCTCAGTCTGGAGTGCAGTGGTACTGTCATAGCTCATTGCAGCCTGGAACTCCTGGGCTCAAACCATCCTCCCGTCTCTGCCTCCCAAAGTGCTGGATCAGGTGTGAACCACCATTTAAAAAAAAAGGCATTTAAAGGATTTATTCCTTTTTCTTTTCTCTTTCTTTTTCTTTCTTTCTTTTTTTTTTTTAAGACGGAGTCTTGCTCTGTCACCCAAGCTTGAGTGCAGTGGCGTGATCTTGGCTCACTGCAACCTCTGCCTCCCAGGTTCAAGTGATTCTCCTGCCTCAGCCTCCCTAGTAGCTGGGATTACAGGCGCCTGCCACCATGCCCAGCTAATTGTTTTGTATTTTTAGTGGAGATGGGGTTTCACCATGTTGGTCAGGCTGGTCTCGAACTCTGACCTCAGGTGATCCACTCAACTTGGCCTCCCAAAGTGCTGGGATTACAGAGATGAGCCATCGCGCCTGGCCATTTATTCCTTTTTCAAAGAAAAATGGGACATGATTGTTTTTCTTTTTTCTTTTTTCTTTTTTTTGAGAGAGGGTCTCACTCTTGCCTAGGATGGAGTGCAGTGGCAGGATCAGGGCTCAGACTTGTGACTTTTTAAAATAAGAACAGGCCTGGTGCAGTGGCTAACGCCTGCAATCTCAACACTTTGAGAGGCAGAGGGGTGGATTGCTTGAGCCCAGGAATTCAAGACCAACCTGGGCAACATGGCGAAACCCTGTCTCTACTTTTTGTATAAAAAAGAATACAAAAATTAGCTGGGCATAGTGATGCGAGCTTGTAGTCCCAGCTACTTGGGAGGCTGTGATGGGAGGATCTCTTGAGCCCAGGAGGTCAAGGCTACCATGTTCGCACCACTGCACTCCGCCCTGGGTGACAGAGAGAGACTCTGTCTCAAAAAATAATAAAATGAAAATATATGATTTGTACGTATTTCAAAACTACACTTACTCCATCAAGTGGAATAGAGTACTTTGTCTTTCGTAGCGACTCTGGGGAGTTTCAGCAAATTTTAAAAAGATAATTTTCTTTTGCAGGAAAAATAATATGTATTCATGATAGAACATTTAGAAAACAGGAAAATGAAGAAAATATCACCCATAATCTCAATGCCAGGAATAACCACTAAGTGTATTTTCACCTGGATCCTTTAGATCTTTTTTTCTACCATGAATTAGATCTGAGAACACACTATTTCAAGGTACTGTGTTTAACAAGGACCAAAGGTATTTAAAAGTTGAGTCCTTTCTTCTAAAGAGCCTACTGTCTGTCCAAAAAGAGGGTACAACTAATACAGAAATACCTTTTAGAACTTACAGTGGGCCGGGTGCAGTGCTCACACCTGTAATCCCAGCACTAAGGGAGGCTGAGGCGGGTGGATCACAAGGTCAGGAGAGCGAGACCATCCTGGCCAACATGGTGAAACCCCATCTCTACTAAAAATACAAAAATTAGCTAGGCGTGGTGGTGCGTGCCTGTAATCCCAGCTACTCAGGAGGCTGAGGCATGAGAATCACTTGAACCCGGGAGGCGGAAGTTGCAGTGAGCCGAGATCCGCCGTTGCACTCCAGCCTAGCAACAGAGGAAGACTCTGTCTAAAAACCAAACCAAAACAAAAAAGAACTTACATTGTATTTGGCTGCTCTGGTGCAATGGAAAAAAGATTAAAAATATAGGTTAAATACTGTTCCAGTAACTCCTACTCCTTACTGTGCATCAGGATCATTTGAGTGCATTTTGTGGCTTGTGTGTATGTGTGTGTGTTTTAAAACATTTGTGCCTTGGTCCCACCCCTAGAAATTCTGACGCAGTGGTACGTCTTTATTGCATCTAAGTAAGGTTTAGAAATCAGAATTTTTTTAAACTTCTGCGAGGTGATTCTAATGAGTCCCAGGGCTGAGAACCATTGAACTAGATGGGTCACTGATTATAATATTAGGAAACAGACTTGATTTGTCATTGTAGAGCTACCCCTAAGTCATGTGCTCCAAAGCTCATGCATCTTTCTTTTTTTTTTTAAATTTATCACTGACTTGGAGCTTGCAAAGCGCGTGCATCTAAGAAAAAAAGATGTAAAGGAAGCATATCAGTCTTTGTCGAAGTCTTCTTTATCTTAGTTCTAAAAGGATAGATAAGGAATGGAGGGCAGGGCCTCCATGTTCCATTGAGCAGTTTTTTGCACCACACAAAGGTGTCCGGCTGAGTGCTCAAATGGGAGTTAAACGCTCTTTTTCTTTCATTAAGGCTTACATGTGTGAGGCTTCATCAGCCTCTAAAGGGCAACTTTTTTCTAATTGGCACAAAGATACCATATGGACTAGGGATGGCCCTGAAAAATGGAATCACAGTTGTAGATGTTTATATTAAAAAAAAAAGCAATAAGCTAATAAAATTCTGCTTTTTTAGTCCCTGTGCTACTGAATTTACTGCTTGTTAGCATTTGGTTGGCTAGATCTTTTAATGTTAATTAAGTATTGCCAGGATGTGGAGGAGGAAGTACTGACAAGCTGTACTAGACCCACCCACATGCAGAGCAAAAATAGCTCACACAGAAATTATTGATCTTGAGCTTCTTTAATCATTTTAACTTCTTATTATAGCAAGAAAATGAACAGCTAGGTCAATTATGACCATCATTGATGGCCATTTTCAGTATCATATAGCAAAAATTGTTAGTATATACAGATTTTCTTTGTTGAACAATTTTTGCAAGATAGAACTTTTTTTTTTTTTTTTTTTGCCAGTTAGTTTTCTAGCAAGAAAAATTTTGATTTACCACTAACTTATTTTCATCTTTTCTTTTCCGTAGATAAACTATCTATTGGGGCAAAGAGGGAACCCTTTTGTGAACTATGAAAAATTAGCTTCACCTTTGTCCTGTTAATTTAGCTATTATTATTATTTCCATAAATGTCTGAGGAAAGAGGAAACATGCCTACTTTGTAAGTCCGTTTGCCAACAGAGCTCAGCCCTTCTGAGCAAAGTGCAGTCCTCAGTGCACACAATTGATCAGTTTTAATACGTTTAATATGTTCAAGATGTACAATTTGAGTTTAATTTGGTTCTTACACAACAGACCACTAGTGTCTATAAATATCTTTGTGTTTCTTTAATACAAGAAAAGAACAAAGAACATGAGGGAAGCATAATATCTTGTATTTATATCTTGTAAAGACATGAATGAAGGTAAAAACCAAAGGACAGAGATCTGAAAGTAGGTTTAATTCATGCCATTGTACCATTTACCTCAGCAATGAAGATTGGAACATTCCTTTGATACTTCCAATAACTCTCAGGTTTACAGAATGAGGACTCCAATAATAAAATGTTTATTTAATCGATTTGCATATAAACCTGGAGGCAGCCTAGTTTAAAAGAAAAAGCCTGGGTTCTACCTGGCTCTTGGGACCTTAGGCAAGTCACTCAGTCCTCTGAACCTGTTTTGTCATCTTGAAAGTGGTGTTCTGAACACTTAGTTTACAGTGTTCTATATATTAGAAAAGGGATGGTCTAGACTGGAAGAATATCTAAAACGTATCTGATATGTAGGTAATAGATGGACGCTATTTTCATGATTGCATGTCAATGACACCAGAAACTGAACAGTTTGTCAGAACCCTGGCACGTGAAAGTATGGTAGGAGAAAAGAGAGAACAAAGAAAGTGAACTCCAGCCCTGGTTTGTCTGTCCCTAGTCTCAGGGCTGAGAGATTCATGGATGGTCATTTATACCTTCATTCAACAAATGTTGAGTGCCTGCTATGCGTTAAAAAAATTAGGCAAGGCTCTGCTCTCATGGTGCTCACATTTCAGAAAGGGGGACATAATTGCGTGAATAAAATATTTTTGTGCAGGTGTCAAAGAATCTGTACATTGCAGTGCTGTTTTTGGAACACCATAAAATATTGGAGTAGTCAGTTCCATCTTTGTACAGGGAAGAGATTTTCAGCAGAAAAATCTGACTCTCTCTCTCTCTATATATATATAGATATTCTGATTTTTACATCGCAAGTAACCACACAGTTTTTAAGTCTTCACTTCCAAGGTTTTTTATTTTTATTAATTTGTTTTATTTTATTTTATTTTATTTATTTTTTGAAACGGAATCTCTCTTTGTCCCCCAGGCTGGAGAGTGGTGGTGCGCTCTTGGCTTACTGCAACCTCCGCCCTCTGGGTTCAAGCAGTTCTCCTGCCTCAGCCTCCCCAGTAGCTGGGATTACAGGTGTCCACCACCACGCCTGGCGAATTTTTGTATTTTTAGTAGAGATGGGGTTTCGCCATTTTGGCCAGGCTGGTCTTGAACTCCTGACCTCAAGTGATCCATCCTCCTTGGCCTCCCAAAGTGCTGAGATTACAGGCATGAGCCATTGCTCATGGTCCAAGTTTTTTTAACTGGTGTTCATTTGCTAGTATTTTCTACCAGGCAAGCTAAGAAAATTATTTTTTTTAAAACTTTAAAATTTGAAAAAAACACATCCATCGGCTTTTGTTCTTGGCGAATTTTCTAATTAATGTATTATGTTAGTAACAGAAGATCAGTGTGTTCCAGGAGTATAGTTTGAGATTCTCTAGTCTACAGAGTCTAAAAGTGAAAGTTAAGTAAAAGAATAACAGGGAGGAAAGTTTTTGCTTCCAGTTTTTTATTACCAACCGTAAAATTTTAGAAGACTGTAGGGACCAAAGAGTGTAGGTTAGTTTTTACCTCTTCCATGGCCTAGGAAGCACAGAAACCCTCATCAGAAGTTTCAGGGGATAGCAGTGGAATTCTGGGAAGCAGAATGCTTTAGCTGGTTGTGGGGAAGAAAATGGGTGACCAGTCTTCCCAGTGCTTCTCTGAGAAAAATGTTCCCAGAGAATTGGGTCAATAGATGATGCAAGCTCTCCACAGCTTCTAATCCCCTGTCTCCTGGAACCACATTGCTGTGCATCAGGACTACCAGCTTCTTACCTCAGAGGGTCTGCTTCCACCCTCTGCCTCAGAACATGGAAGCCATTATCAATGACTTAGAGCTGGCAAGACCCAGGTTCAGTGTGAGACCAAGGGGAGGGAGAGGTGGATAGCTGTTTCATCAGTTGGTGTAGGTTGGAACTCTGAATTAATTTCACCGTAGAAATCATGCCCTAATAGTGATTAAGTGCTTTAGCACTATTTTACATATATGTGTGTGTATGTATATATATACATATATATGTGTATATATATATATATTTTTTTTTGAGACGGAGTCTCGCTCTGTTGCCCAGGCTGGACTGCAGTGGCGCAATCTCACTGCAAGCTCCGCCTCCCGGGTTCACGCCATTCTCCTGCCTCAGCCTCCTGTGTAGCTGGGACTGCAGGCGCCCACCACCGCGCCTGGCTAGTTTTTTGTATTTTTAGTAGAGACAAGTTTTCACTGTGTTAGCCAGGATGGTCTCGATCTGCTGACCTCGTGATCCGCCCGCCTCGGCCTCCTAAAGTGCTGGTATTACAGGCGTGAGCCACCGCGCCCGGCCAGCACTATTAATATATTCTTAGGTACTTTGAGGAGAAGGGAAAGGTGAGGAAGACATAAATTGGAGTTAGAAACTGTGTGTGTTGTTAAGTTGACAAAATTTTGATCTTCTGTGTTGCCCCATTTTAAGATACTCTTTTTCATAAAATTGGGGGAAAATGGGAATAAACGAGTATTAATTTTCTGGTGCAGTGAATAACTGATGCCATCTCAGACCACTTGTGCATTAAAAAGAGAAACATTCTGTGGTTCTGTGCTTCTCATCAATAGGGTCTTTTACAGACGTTACCGTAGATGACTGATTTCATTTACTAGACAATTCTGAGGAGGGTATGAATGCTTTTAGACTTGGCCACAGTAACTCCAATTTATCCAGATCACAAATAGTAGGAAAGTTCAACAGTCTGGGAGTTTCCAAAGCCCTATGCCATATAATGGTATCTTCTGAATCAGGGAAAAAAGTTGTTATGGTTTGTGTTAAGTGACTTTTATTTTATTCATGGAAATTGGTATGTATACCTATATGGAAATGCCTGGATAAACACTGAAAGTGGCAGGGAAATTATTTTTAAAATTATTTGAAACAGGCCAACCTGGGAGGGATGAAAACTGAAGAGTTACAAGGGGAGATGTCCTGGAAACTAGAGAACCCTGCAAAAGCAATAAAGTTTATCTAGATGTATTGTTAAGTGAAACAAATCAAACGACAGTGTACTGTGATTTGCCTTGTATTGAAACAAACGCGTGTGTGTTTGTAAATACATAGAAAATCTAGAAGGATGGGGATTACTTCTGGAAAGTGTTAAAGGGACTCACTTTTTCCTTCCATCCTTTTGTTTTGTTTGAATTTTTATAGGGAGCAGGTATTACTTTTATAAACATTAAGAATTTTAAAATGTAAAAATTGTTAGAGACCAAGAGGGATAGTTTTGCCCCATTGAGGCTGACAGTCAATGGGAAGTGTTATATGGCAAGAGTGTGGTGTGGGACAGACATCAGTGGCCTCATCTAATTCCAGATTGCAGAGATCTCAGGAGCCAAGGCAGCAGGAAAAGCAGTTAGACTGTAGGAGGGACTTTAGTGACCTGGGCAGGTAGAGTTGGTGGCGGGAGGGGCCGTGGAGAAATCAGAAACATCAGGAAGTAAAAGAAGGTGAATGGAAGACCCAGGGAGGTGTAGGAGTAGTATAATGAATATGTATATTTTGGAGGAACCAGATGGGAACTGATATTTGAGTTGTTAGCTTTTTGAGGGACTGGCCAATGTCATTCATCTTTGTATCCTTTTTTGCCTAGTTCAGTGACTTGCATGTGGTAGCAACCATTAAATGTTGAATGTTGTATGAGTGGGCGAATCTCTAAAGCCGTATGCTTTGGTCTCCTTTTATGACAGGAGAGTATTGTATTAGATCCTTTCCAAGGACCTTTTTGGCTACATAGTCTTCTTCACCTGATTTCCATAAGCCCCATACCTTAAATAATATATTTGTATGTGATTGTTTTACTAATGTGATTATATATGATACTTGGAGCAGTAGCCTTTTAAAGTAAAGAAACCTCAAAAGATAGGCTGATCCATACCAATAGTAGTGCCTTGATACACACAGGTTTATAAATCTCTCTGCATTGAAAAGGCCCCAGAGAAAGTGGGACATAAACATCTTTAGTTTATAGGGTTCTGCAGGGAAAACTATAAGAGACACGTAACATTTTTGTTCCCATAACCATCTGGAAAGATAATATCTTCATTATGTTCTCATTTCTGTTGAGGATCTTAAAGAATATCACATGAAATGCTGAAACTTTCATATCTGCAATAGAGATTGTAGAGCTGTCAGCATTTGAATGTCTCATTAGTGAGAGGAGAGGAAAGGCAAATTAACACTTTTTCTTTTTGACAGTTACATACTTTAAAGGAAAATGACTAAAGGAAAAAGTGTATGATTATTTTCATCAGAAGATGTTTTAATTGCCTTTTATATTGTCTTATTTAAATGCCATAATAGAGCCATAAATATGATATTAATAGATTATAAATATCTGCTTACATAAATAATATATCCTGTCTTCCTCCTTTCTATCAAGATTGAAAAGGCCAAACCTATTAAATGTGGAACATTTGGTGCAACATCTTTACAGCAGAGATATTTAGCTACTGGAGATTTTGGTGGAAACCTTCATATATGGTAAGATGATTTAGTCAGTATTCAGACAGATGAGACAGGCAATTTATTTGATAGTTTCATTACTCTTTCTCTGAAAGAGAGAATTTTAATTTTAAAATCTTTATATGTTCCATTTTAACTATAAAAATATGAGAATTTTCTCTTAATACATATTTCTAGATTTCATATTCAAAATCCATTTAAAAATACTAACCTATTTTTCTTTAGATATTTTGGATAATATTATCAATGCTTATTTTCACACACACTGTTTGGTGCTAGCATTTAATGCCATGTATTTGTAAATAAAGGTCTATTCCCCCTCCAACTTTAAAAATATAGTATATAAAAATGCACATGAATAACATTGAAAAAGTAGGTATTAATTATTTATATTTCAGCAATAGATTTAGCACTGCAGAATGTTTGTTTTTTCAAGCTTTAACATCTAAGCACAACTTTTTAGAAGCATATCTGTTGAACAAATCAAAATAAACTTGTTTTGAATGGGCAAAATCACAATTCTGCCAAATGCCTTTTTCATATTTTACCTAGAGTTGTTTCTTATTTAGAGTGGAATGAATTGAAATTCCTTTTTAATTACTTTGCAGGAAAATCAATTATTGTAATCATTTATAGTATACAGCAGTGTTCTAAAATATTATGGAGAAAGTTCTAGAGTGTTCTAGAAAAACTATCTTTCCTGCATCATGTTTTCTAACATGACTTTCTTGAGTCTCACTTAGAACCTGCTACTTTATAGTTACATTACTTTAACATATTTATCTCTTAGAATCATAACATTAAACAAAATGAAACTATTTTAATTTCTCCTTGCTTTAACTCCTTAATAATTAAATTAGCATGTATTCTTTAGTTCTTAGATGCTTTGTCATATGCTTTGAGAGATACTGGGAGAGGGGCAAGTTTGAATGCTATTTTAAAAAATAAATATATTTCAACACAAGAGTATTCAAAATATTAAATAGTACCATTGACCATCTTTCTAATATAGTTTCCTAGTATAGTACAGATATTACCAACTTACTTTCATGATAAATCGTATAATTTCATGTTAAAAAATAATGTTTTAAAGTCTATAAAATAGTAAAACAGTCATTTCAAGTAGAACCACAATCTTGTTTAATCTCTTGATTAGTTCATAATGATGGTAAATGTAATTTCTAAACTAGGTTGAAGTATCTCAAAAAATTTTTCTTGTTTTTGAGATGTAGTCTCGCTCTGTTGCCTAGGCTGGAGCATAGTGATGTGATCTTGGCTTACTGCAACGTCCACCTCCCGGGTTCAAGTGATTCTCCTGCCTCAGCCTCCCGAGTAGCTAGGATTACAGGTGCCCACCACCACGCCTGACAATTTTTTGCGTTTTTAGTAGAGACAGGGTTTTGCCATGTTGGCCAGGCTGGTCTCAAACTCCTGACCTCAGGTGATCTACTCACCTTGGCCTCCCAAAGTCCTGGGATTACAGGCATGAACCACTGCACCTGGCCACAAATTTTTTATTAGTAAGGTTTTACTAATAAATATTGGCCCAATAATAAATTGGGATTATATTTCATGAATAGCCACATTCATTTTAAATATCCGTAAGTTATTGAAAACTAAATTATTAAGAGAAATATAAATAGAAGTTCCAGTAGAAAAGCAAAAGAAGGGGAGAAATGGAGATGGGCAAGAAAAGGAATGTGTGAGGATCACCTAGTCAAGCCATTCATTGCCCAGTAGTGCAACTGTGGTAATCAATACTTTCCTGAATGCCTTTCTGTGAATTGACCTATTAGACGAACTTCAGCCTGTCTTTCAGTAATACATATTGTTGTACGATGACACACTGAAAAATATGTCAATAGATGAAAATCAGTGTGGACTTCAGTGGGAAAATAGTACCTTATAAAGGAAGAAATGTGTACAAAGTAAACACTACTCATATTTTATCCTTTAAAAAGGTCATAAGATCCAACTACTGAGGCCTACTTTGGAAGAATTCTAATGAGTATGATGATTTAGTAAGGCCAGCTAATGGAGTCCATCTTCTGTTCACTTCCCATATTTTGGTAACAGCCACTAAAACCCAGAATTGAAAAAAATTGTCCTGAGAGCCAGGTCCTCAGATACATGGTGGTTTTTTCTTTTCTTTTCTTTTTCTTTTTTTTTTTTTTTTCCCTGAAACAGGGTCTTGCTCTGTCACCCAGGCAGGAGGGCAGTGGCATGATCTCAGCTCACTGCAGCCTTGACCTCCCTGAGCTTTACTGTATATTTGAAGCAGTATTTTTTCAGACTTCAGTGTACCACAGTCATTGTTTTGGGGACCCATCTGAGATCCTGATTCCTTATGTTTGAGGAGAAGCCCTTGAATCCATGTTTATCAACAAGCATACCTGGTAATTCATCTGTGGGGGTCTTGGAGAGATCGTCTTTGAACACTACATATAGTGAGCTCAGGATTGGAATTTCAAGTTGAATGATGACAGTTCTCATTGGGGACTTGAAAGAAGCTAAATGGAGAGAAAATTTCAGAAGTGTAAATAAATGTATACACTATCTTCATAGCAAAACCTTAATTTCTATACAAAAAAAAATCGAACTGTAATATGTATTTTTGAATTTCAGTAGCAGACTTAAATGTTTGGGACATGTGGTGTAAAAAGCTGTGTTTGTTGTTTAGGAATTTAGAAGCTCCAGAGATGCCAGTATATTCTGTAAAGGGCCATAAAGAAATTATAAATGCCATAGATGGCGTAGGTGGACTAGGAATTGGAGAAGGAGCACCTGAAATTGTGACCGGCAGCCGAGATGGTGAGTCCATGTATTCTATGTATTTTGTTTATTTATTTTAATGGAAATCTCTATGCAGCAGTACGTCCTCTCTGAGTAAAAATCCCCTTCAGTTACCTTGACTCCCTAAATCTAACAGTCTTGCTGCTACTTTTTTAACAGGCAAGTTTGATTGCTTCTCTCTCGATTGTTTCAGACTTTTGGGTATTTGGAGATAGATTCATAGCACTTCTTACCACTATTTTAGTGTTGAGCCGGTTCAGCTACTAACAGTGATGGTTTCCTCTGAACCCTGAAGGATTTAAAATGTCTTTACAGGCTTTTGAGGCAGCTGACGATATAATGTGGGTGGCAGCTTTTCATTTTCTTTTTTTAAAAGGCAGAGTTAGTACTTGTGAAAATTGTCATATTGACAGCTAGTTGAAAACTGAAGTTCTGTGATCCATCCACTGGAGAGTTCCAAAGGCACCAGCTCAGCTCTTCCACCCTGCAGTGACCAACAAGGAAGGGCCAGGTCTTTTGGTGTCCAAAGTGGTACTGCATGACTTTAATAGAGTCAGAAATGTTTTTGTTTCACGAGGGGTACACGAGAAATTTGGTACCTATTATAATTGATTTGCCTAGTTGTGTAATGACTGCTCAAGACCATGAAGAAATTGCTTTAAAAGAAAAGTGAGATATAATTTTCTAATAGGTACTCAAGAGCAGCTAGCTGTGTTTTAGAAATCACTTATTTTTTTTTACTCATAAAAGCAATATTGAGTATAGAGGGAAAAAATAATATTCAGTCTACCACACTACCACAACCATTAGATTTTTCTTTTTCTTTTAGGTCTTATATATAATTTTGCATAGTTATAAGTGTGAATATGAATTTGTATCTTAGAAACTTTTTTCATTTAATGTTTTGTCATATGCACATATTGCTGTTTCCAAGTTATCATTTTAATGACTATATAATATTCCATCATATGGCCATACTTAACCATTCCCCTATAAGCCTTCAGTTTGCTTTTTTTGTTGTCTTATGAGAGTGGCTTAAAAATAATGAGTAAATGAGTATTGTCATATGTAGTAACTCTTTTGGAATAAACATATTTTATTTGATGATTTTTAAAAAAATGTATTGGGCCAGGTACAGTCATTCATGCCTATAATCCCATAACTTTGGGAGGCCGAAGCGGACGGATAACTTGAGACCAGGAGTTTGAGACCAGCGTGGGCAATGTAGCGAAACCCTGTCTCTACTGAAATACAAAAATTAGCCAGTGTGGTGGCACACATCTGTAATCCCAGCTACTCAGGAGGCTGAGGCACAAGTTTTGCTTGAACCTGGCAGTGGGAGGTTGAAGTGAGCTGAGATTGCACCACTGCACTCTAGCCTGGGCAACAGAGTGGGACTCCGTCTCAAAAAAAAAAAAAAAGTTTAAAATTTACTGACAAGCGTTCCAAAGTACTTATTTATAGTCAGCTACAGTAGATGAGGTAGATTTCAAGTCTACCCTGTTAGCGTTGATTTCCTTTTTTTCTATCTTATTTTGTAGACAAAATGGTATTCCTTTCCAATTTGTGTTTTTTTCTATATTTACTAGTTAATTTTGTTTTATGAATACTCTGTGTTCTTTGCTCATTTATCTTTTGCAAACTTACTATAAATCTTATCAATGTGTATAAATCCGGTAGAGAAAGATAATCTCTTATCTCTATATATGGGTTTTTTTTTTTTTTTAAACAGGCTTTTGCTGGGTGCAGTGGCTCATCTCTGTAATCCCAGCACTTGGGAGGCTGAGGTGGGAAGATCACTCGAAACCAGCTTGGGCAACATAGGGAGATGCCATCTTTACAAAAACTTTAAAAATTAGCCAGGCATGGTGGTATAGTCCCAGCTACTTGGGAGGCTGAGGTAGGAGGATCACTTGGACCCAGGAGGTCGAGGCTGCAGTGAACCATGATCGCATGACTGCACTCCATCCTGGGTGACAGAGCAAGACCCTGTCTCTAAATAAATAAATATTAAAGTCAAGCAGCCTCTTAATGATCTTTATTTTGTCCCTGGAGGTAAATCTAATGTTGTACCTCCACCTTTCCTGAGTTATTTTCCTTTTAAGGATTTTTTTTTTTTTTTTTGCCCTTTTCTTATTCTCTCTCAGGTACTTGCCTTTTAGCCATTTTATTACATGTATTTGCATTTCTTGTAGGTAGTGACACTATTTTAGTAAGTAGTCCCATAACATGAATTAAAACGAGGGGGTTGAAATTAAATTGAGAATTTGTTAGTTTTATTTAACATTTTCCTCTTCACTATTGCCACAGGAAAATTAAACTTAATTGTATATGAAATAGTATTCTAGACCAGGCACAGTGGCTCATGCCTGTAATCTCAGCACTTTGGGAGGCCGAGGCAGGTGGATCACCTGAGGTCAGGAGTTTGAGACCAGCCTGGCCAACATGGCAAAACCCCATCTCTACTAAAAAAATACAAAATTTAGCTGGGCATGGTGGTGGGTGCCTGTAGTCCCAGCTACTCGGGAGACTGAGGATAGAGAATCGCTTACACCTGGGAGGCGGAGGTTGCAGTGAGCCAAGATCATGCCGTTGCACTCCTGGGTGACAGAGTGAGACTCCATCTCAAAAAAAAGAGAAGAAATAGTGTTCTAGAACTCACAACATAAGAAACCATTAATTCAAAATTAGAGTGTATTCATGCCGATGGTTAAATGGGTAGTAAGGAAAAAAGTAAAAATGAAAACAACACTGGTATTTTCTCTAATAAATAACACATTTGTTTTAGGCTCATGATTTGAATTACGTAACATTCACATTTGCCTTGTCAATCATCACTTGTAGATAACTTAGGAACACTTGTTGGCTTTTCTGTGTGTCTATTAATTTGGAAACCAAGCCAGATAGTCACATATGGGTGATATCTCTGATATTAAATAAAACTTACCCAATTAGAAGTCAGAACAATGTGGATATTTTCAGATGTCATAACATCTGTCATATTGCCATGTACATAGGAAGCCATAGAAGAACAATGTAGAAAAGAAACATGATCATTCACTTTTGAATTTTTGCCAACTTACTTTTATGCATGGCAGGAACTGTGAAGGTATGGGACCCAAGGCAAAAAGATGATCCTGTTGCTAATATGGAACCTGTACAAGGAGAAAACAAGAGAGACTGTTGGACTGTGGCATTTGGTAAATTATTGAAGAATTCTTGCATTTGAATTATCAGATGGTAAAAAGCACGATCCTGCAAGAAATTTCACACTAGTCTCTTTATAGTCTGTTTTGTGGATTATTTACTGAGGCAAATATACATGGTGGTTAATGTCAGCCTCTGGATCCTGGATTTGAATTCTCACCTGCAATAAGTATATTGGCTGCGGGGCCTGGAGCAAGTTACCAACGTTATCTGTTCCTTGGTTGTTTCATTTATAAAATGGAATTAATAATAGAATTTACTTAGTTGTGTCGTCATGAAGATTCAATGAGTTAATTACATGTAAAGTGCTGAGAATTGTGCTTATTATTATATGTTTCTGTTTAATTAGATAATAGTGACCTAATTTAAAATCAGACACCATTAAAGGGGATAAACCAAGCCTCAGATGCAAACGGTAACCTAACAAATCATACATTACACTGTGTACAGAGTATGTTTATTTTCCAGAAAATAGTTTGCCATTGCAAAGTTATTTCTTATAAATTTTGATAACTGTGTTCCTTTATTAATTTACTTAAAATGAATATTGATTTTGTAAGACTAATTGACATTTGCCCTTTGATATGGTTTGGATCTATGTCCCCACCAAATCTCATGTCGAATTGTAATCCCCAGTGTTGGAGGTGGGGCCTCGTGGGAGGAGATTAATGGGGGCAGAGTTCTCATGAATGGTTTAACACATCCTCCCGTATACTTTAAATCACCTCTGGATTACTTATAATACCTAATATGATGTAAATGTTGCGTCAATCATTGTTGTATTGTTTAGGGAATAATGACAAGCACAAGAAGTCTGTACATTTTTAGTGTAGATGCGAATTTTTTTCCAAATATTTTCGATCCAGGGTTGGTTGCCTATAGATGCAGAACCCGTGGATAGGGCGGGCTGATGGTAGAAGAGAATAATAGTAGGAATATCCTTAGAGATGGCTCAGGACAATGGCCAGAGGTGTTAGGATGGCCTGAAGATCGTTCTAAGTTTTTGACGGTTTTTGCAAGGAGGAGATGAAATCCGAGCTTTAGGACAATGAACTAATGGTATTTAGCGGGAGTGATGGGTGGCACAGAGAATATGAGTTCAAGGGCTCTTGGCAGTATTCCAGGGAAGACCTAAGTTACAAGCACTGAGAAGGGAGCAGAGTGGATGATTCAGAAGATAATATTATGCAGAATACATAGAATTGGGGAATTTTTTTGGATATGAAGAACAAAGAAAAGGATTATGTCCAAGATGACTGAGTTTTCAGGCTGATTGTGGGGTGAATGATGTTATTATACAAGGGGTGGGATAATTTGTAAAGGAAAATGGTAAGGTCATTTTGGGACATCATGAGTTTAAGATGATGGCGTACCATCTAGGTGGGGCCCACAGTGGAAACGCAGGGCTGGAGTTTATGAGAAAAACGAAGTTAGAGGCAGTAGAGAATGAAAGCTTGGGGACAGGATGCCCAGAGAGCCTAGCACAGTGACAGGGGCCTCCTTCTCACTTAACACTCTTTCCTCAGCAAGAGGTACTTGGAAAAAAATCCTTGAATTCCAGGAGGATGAGTTTAACTACAGATTATAAACTTACTTCAGGTATGATCATCCACACTACTAAAAATATGTTACAGTGTGCTACAGCTTATTTTCAGATTTCCTTGGAAAGATGGGATCACACCAGAACAGCATTTTTCAAGATAAATTAGTTTTAAAATTTCTGTTTGCGTTCAAATATAGTTACTGCCAAGAAAGCAACAGAAGTATAACTGTGTTTATTCTCCGAGACCCCTTTGTGTTTGAGTTATAGTTGGCCTGCTAGCCTTTGCAGATATACTATAAAGCATTTTTTTTTTTTTTTGAGACGGAGTCTGGCTCTGTCGCCCAGGCTGGAGTGCAGTGGCGCGATCTCGGCTCACTGCAAGCTCCGCCTCCCGGGTTCACGCCATTCTCCTGCCTCAGCCTCCCGAGTAGCTGGGGCTACAGGCATGTGCCACTACGCCAGTCTTATTTTTTGTATTTTTATTAGAGTGGGGTTTCACTGTGTTAGCCAGGATGGTCTCCATCTCCTATAAAACATTTTCTTTAAATTGAATTCAATAAACGCTTTCACATATCCTTTCAGTATGGAATTACAGTGAATGAGCTTATATTAGTCCGTTTTGCATTGAATTCCTTTATTGCTATAAAGGAATACCTGAGACTAGGTAGTTTATAAAGAAAAGAGGTTTATTTGGCTCATGGTTCTGCAAGAGTATACAAGAAGCATGGTGCCAGTATCTGCTTCTGGTGAGACCTCGGAAGTGTCTGCTCATGGCAGAAGGCAAAAGGGGAGCAGGCGTGTCACATGGCGAGAGAGGGAGCAAGAGAGAGGGGAGGAGGGAGGCGCCAGACTCTTGAACAACCAGACCTCTCATGAACTAGAAGAGTGAAAACTCATTACCACAAAGACTGCACTGAGCCATTCACGAGGGATCCAGCCCCATGACCCAGCACCTCCCATCAGGCCCCACCTCTGACATTGAGGATCTTACATCAGCATGAGATTTGGGGGGACAAATATCCAAACTCTTATGAGAGATTTAAACAAACCAAAAAACTATTGGAAACCACATTAATAATCTTGATGTCCTGTCAGGATTGATAAGGTGGGATTCTATCCAGTGTGATTTTTAAAATCTGATTTAGTATAAGCTATATGTATAGTTTCATAAGATTTTTTTAAGCAACCTTTATATGAATGCATTTATAAGGATGTGAAATGTTGTATTTTGATTTCCAGGCAATGCTTATAATCAAGAAGAACGTGTTGTTTGTGCTGGTTATGACAATGGGGATATCAAACTATTTGATCTCAGAAATATGGCATTACGGTGGGAGACAAACATCAAAAATGGGGTAAAGTACATTCTGATGCTTTTTGGTTTCTCTGCGCATGTTTCCATTCACCTCTGAATTACTACAAAAGGAAGACACCTCTAGTAACTCATCTCAGTCAACCCCTCTGCCAATGGTTCTTAACTTTTTGGGGCCAAACTCGTTTGAGAATCTAATGAAAATCCTGAATCCTCTCTTCAGAAAATGAGCTCACACCCACGTGTGGTATGTACAATGTTGGGGGAGTCACCAGCCCCTTCAGCCTGTCTGCAGACCCCTGTGGGCCATGTAGTAAGATTTCAAAATAGGCAAGTAAAAGGCCTTTTTATGCCAATACAGAAAGCCTGAAACAGTAGTCACCTCCCCAGCTCAGATTTTTGGTTCCTCAGTTGTACACCTTTAGCAAAGAATGTGGTTTCCTCCTGTTTTCTACTGTCAGCCTTTACTTAACTGTTAAATAACATTAAAAGTTAAATAATGATTCCCCAAAGGCATTCACTGAGCATGGGAACCCAAGATAGTTTTGTTGATCTTACTAATGGAAAAAAAAAATGGTTTTTTCTTTTTTTTTTGAGATGGAGTCTTGCTCTGTTGCCTAGGCTAGAGTGCAGTGGCACGATCTTGGCTCACTGCAAGCTCTGCCTCCCAGGTTCATGCCATTCTCCTGCCTCAGCCTCCCAAGTAGCTGAGACTACAGGTGCCTGTCACCACACCCGGCTAATTTTTCATATTTTTTAGTAGAAACGGGGTTTCATCGTGTTAGCCAGGATGGTCTCAATCTCCTGACCTCGTGATCCGCCCTCCTCAGCCTCCCAAAGTGCTGGGATTACAGGTGTGAGCCACCATGCCTGGCCAAAAAAAAAGAATTTTTTTTTGAGATGGAGTCTTACTCTGTCACCCAGGCTAGAGGGCAAGGGCGTGATCTCAGCTCACTGTAACCTCTGCCTCCCAGGTTCAAGCGATTCTCCTGCCTCAGCCTCCCAAGTAGCTGGGACTACAGGCACACGCCACCATGCCCAGCTAATTTTTGTATTTTTAGTAGAGACAGGGTTTCACCATGTTGGCCAGGCTGGTCTTGATCTCCTGACCTCATGATCCACCTGCCTTGGCTTCCCAACGTGTTAGGATTACAGGCATGAGCCACCACGCCCGGCTGGAAAAAAATTTTTATGGTAAAAGTTAAAAGAGAAAATGATTGTTGGAGTGCTTTCACATTATCTGACCATTTTAAAGCTGTTTTACTTAGTTTAAAAGAGCCTCCTGAGTTAATACTGGTGAGACTACCAATAATAAATATTCTCTGTTTTCAGGTATGTAGCTTGGAGTTTGACAGAAAAGACATAAGTATGAATAAGTTAGTAGCCACATCTCTGGAAGGAAAGTTCCATGTTTTTGACATGAGAACACAGCATCCAACCAAAGGTTTTGCCTCTGTTTCAGAAAAGGTAAATATGAGGGAAATGTCTTTATATGAAGAAGAATGATAGCTTGGCTTAGACTGATAAGTAGAATTAGTCACCAAGGTTTCTTCCAGGTCTTTATGTGAGGGGAGCTATTTTTGATATATTCCTGTGAGATCTTGACAAGTTTTTCTGTGCAAAGAGTACTTCCCCAAAGTTTATCAACTTTAGACTTCTTGATTATAATAAAGATCTCAGTTAGGTAGGAATCTTATTTTGTAGTTTAGGGGCAATTAGAAGAAACCTAGCTGATAATAGGAATTTGATCAACAAAACCCATCCTCGTGTTTCCTAATAAATATTTAATACTTGTGCTAATACCTGGTTATATATTTTTCAAAATATAACTATATGTACATGATGTCATTACATTTTATTTTATATTCCAGTTTGCTATATTAAATGAAATTATTGAAAGCACTGAGTGCTGTGATTATAGTAGATGTTCAAAAATATTTTATTTACTTACTTAACTTTGCCTTGCATTTGAGGTAGCTGAGAGGGAAATATGGTATTACAGCATTAGACCAATAGATGAGGAAAGCAGGGCAAAAGGAAAATACTGGTTTAAAAAAAAGATAGTTTCTGGACTGGGGGCATTACAGAAAATTCATGCAAAAAGGTCCTGTCATTCACAAGAAATGGATTGGAAATGTGATTTGAGCTTCCTAAAGTATAAAAAGAAAGAAATATCAATTACGGATTCCTTGTTTCCGTAAGATTAAAATATACAAGTAAGAATTTACTCCATTGCTTCTCTCTCTCCTGTGGATTCAGTTAGGATTTCTTGAACCTTCCTATTTTGTCTCATTATTATTATTGTGTGTAAATTATTGTCACTGCCTTATGAAAATGAAATTCTTAACAAGATAATTATAAAGTAATGGTTTGCTTTTGTCATTTCAGAATATATTAAATATCTATCAACAACATAGATCACTTTACTAAACTGTTACATGTATAATTTGCAACACATATATCATTATCTATAAATAATAGTGTCATCTCCAATTTTTTATTTTGTTTGTTTGGCTTTTTTTTTTTTTTTCTTTTTGGAGACAGAATCTTGCCCTCTTACCCAGGCTGGTGTGCAGTGGCATGATTATGGCTCACTGCAGTCCTGGGCTCAAGTGATCCTCCTGCCTCAGCCTCCCAAGTTGCTGGGAGTATAGGCACACGCCACCGCATCTGGCTAATTAGAAATTTTTTTTTTTTCATAAAGACAGAGTCTTGCTGTGTTGCCCAGTCTGGACTTGAAACCTGACCTCAAGTGATCCACCTCAGCCTCCCAAAGTGCTGGGATTATAGGCGTGAGCCACTATACCTGGCCCAGTTTTTTAAACTTATATTTAGTTAACCCAGTAATTGCTAAATCTGCCAAATAGATGACTCTGGTATATTTTAAGAGGTCATTTCCCCTCTTGCTTTTTGTGTTTTTCTCAACTTCCTGAAGAAGAAGAGAAGTTTAAGCTACAAAATAAAATGTCTCAACAGCTTGAGCCTAATCACTGGGAGACCGTTACACACTTAAAATATGTGTTTTGAGATATGAGTCTTTATCAGCTAATGGTAATTCTCTCAAAAGACTATTGAAATCAAAGGTCAAGACGAATCACTCACTAAAATGTGGTGTTCCACAATAGCCAGCCCCGCTGCTTCTACAAAGCAGCAGTCATTCATTCCCTCCCACCTCCTTTCTCTCCCTCCCTCTGTCTCTCTCTGTCTCCTAAATTCCCCCCAGTTAATGCAGTATTGCCAGGATGGATTTAGGGGTTGCTATTGAGGTGCTAACAAACTGTTAACCTTCTAGCTGCTGGTTTTTAGTCCTTAGTCTAATGTGAATGATAAAGACCTTAGTTTATTATGACCATAAACATTATCTATAAGTCCTCATGGTCCGTATTTTGAAGACTGGACAGGTCAATGGCAATACATTGAAAATAAGACTCTGGGAGCTGTTAGTTAAAATTCAGTCTATAAATTTTAGTTAAAATTCAGTCTAGAAGAACTCTATACTTATTGCTGACTTTTGCTGTGAACTTCAAACTGTTCTCAGAACTAAAGTGCATTTTTAAAAATTCAGTCCACATTTTTTGTATATATAAACAAAAGTATATATTTTTGCATTTTGAGTGTTTTCACCCTCAGAATGAACTAGAGGTATTTACATATGTAAAATCTATTCATAATGTATTTGGTACTGTAAACTTAAATGGACTTTAAATTTAATACCTGTCTTTTTAAAAATGCAGTAGAACTTTGTTTCATAAAGCAATAAAGAAAAATGATGCTTTTTCTAATTTCTTATGTGCTCCTATAAATCTCTGTAGCCATTATAAAGAAGCGTGCCAGAAAATAACCTTAATTACTTTTATAACCGTTGAAATTATAGTAGTAAAAGTTCTTTATTTGCAGAGTTTCTCTTCCAGGGCACCATTTAGCATATAAACCAGTTGTGTGCCTCTTGTTCTGTTTAGGCTCATAAATCTACTGTGTGGCAGGTCCGACACCTGCCGCAGAACAGGGAGCTCTTTCTGACAGCTGGAGGCGCCGGCGGCCTTCACCTCTGGAAGTAGTAAGTCTGCCAGTGCACACTGCTCCTTTTAAAGTTACCTGTGGGTGTAAAGTAGGATTAGATTGAACTTTTTTGTCTTTTTTTTTTCCCTGCTTTGACTTAGTTCATTTTGATATGATTTAAAATTTCATGGTATTACATAACTTGTTTTCTAAGCATTTTGTATGAATACACTTTACATTTAGTAAAGTGTACACTAATCTTCTTTTGATACATTAAGTCTATTTATAATTTTAGTTGTGTCTTCTAAGTATGTAAAAGTTGGCCCAAGACTTTATTTATTTTTATTTTTTTTTTGAGATGGAGTCTCGCTCTGTTGCCCAGGCTGGAGTGCAGTGGCCGGATCTCAGCTCACTGCAAGCTCCGCCTCCCGGGTTCACACCATTCTCCTGCCTCAGCCTCCCGAGTAGCTGGGACTACAGGCGCCCGCCACCTCGCCCGGCTAGTTTTTATAGTAGAGACGGGGTTTCACCGTGTTAACCAGGATGGTCTCGATCTGACCTCGTGATCCGCCCGCCTCAGCCTCCCAAAGTGCTGGGATTACAGGCTTGAGCCACCGCGCCCCGCCGGCCCAAGACTTTTATCAGATATTATCTTGAAGTGATTAGAACACTCACTGCCTCTAAGAGATGGGGAAAGGGTTCCTTGCCTAAATTTAGATAACATCATTGTGATAGACCCCAACAGAGCCTGAGGCTCCTGACTGGTCTTCAGGAAAGACCTTATCACTGAGTTTGCTTTCTGCATGTCTAGGCTGGGTGAGTTACGGTGAATGCTTTACTGTGCATGCTACTCTCTGAATCCCAAGGGCGCTAACATCGTAGATACTAGATCATTTAAAAGGTCTGATATACTTGCTCAGGGTTGGCCTGTGAAAAGGAGAAAAAGCAAAACAAAACAAAAATTAAAGATCTGATAAAAATTGTGAGTTAATGGTATTTCTGAATACTTTATTAGCTAAGCAATATGTACTTGGAGGGGAAAAATTATATCTTTCTTAAACATCACTCGGAAAAAATAGCAAGCCTATAAATGAAGGATCTTTCAAAAATAAAGTTTCATTAATAATGTAAGAAGAAAAACAACATCCTCAATATATCTGGGACTTTCACATTTATAAAATTCTTCTCTATTAGCTCCTTTGAGAAGCTGGAACGGGTTCTGAAAAACAGGGCTACAGTTGGAAAGTACTTGTTTAAGTACTGTGTGCAGGGATACCGCTGACAAAAAACCAGAGTGAATGCTTTATTTTATATTTTCTGACAGAGTCTTGCTCTGTTGCCCAGGCTGGAGTGCAGTGGCATGATCTCATCTCACCGCAGCCTCCACCTCCAGGTACAAGGGCTTCTCCTGCCTCAGCCTCCCGATTAGCTGGGATTACAGGTGCCCACTACCATGCCCAGCTAATTTTTATATTTTTAGTAGAGACGGGTTTCACCATGTTGGCCAGGCTGGTCCCGAACTCCTGACCTCAGGTGATCCACCCGCCTCGGCCTCCCAAAGTACTGGGATTACAGGCATGAGCCACCGCGCCTGGCCAGGGTGAACGCTTTAGATCAAAACAGTATGGTTATGGCAAAACTCTGTCTCTACGAAAAATACAAGAATTAGCTGGGCGTGGTGGCACACGTCTGTAATCCCAGCTACTCGGGAGGCTGAGGCACGAGAGTTGCCTGAATCTGGGAGGTGGAGGTCTCAGTGAGTCGAGATCACACCACTGCACTCCAGCCTGGGCGACAGAGTGAGACAGAGCAACAGAGACTTTTTCTGTCTCAAAAAACACACAAACAGTATGGTTTCTGTGAGTGAAAAGCAGAGGAAAAGTTTGAGGCATTCTGGGAGAATGTGGGGTAGACCGATCACTTGCTACTTTCCCTTCTTCTAGCACCTTTGCCCGTTGTTCTTCCCTGATTCTTCCACCCCGGTCTCCTCCCCACGTTAGGCTCTGCCAGTCCCCTTAGTGAAGCCATGTGGTGGCACGTCACTATTTTACTTGGTGACCAAATCTTTAGGCTGCTTACTTGAAGAAATAGTTCCAGTTTTCTTTGTAATCCACACGTGGATTTGTATTCCATAAGACACACAAACACTTTTGCAGCTGAAAGTTTTTACTACAGTGGATTTCGTTCTGTCGGTAAAGTTAGGTCTGTATGCAAATTTGAAGTTTAGTGCAATGTAAACTTTACACTTAACCAGAACAGATGTGCAGTCTAATCTTCAAATCGGTTTGGAGTTTTACTGTCAAGTATTGTACCAGCAAAGGGAATTGGTTTAAGTACAATGATACTTAGCTTTATTTTCATTTGCCAGTCTGTCTTGGTAGTAATGCAATTAAATTGTAAATATTTATTGGCCGCTGAACCAACAGCTCCTAGAAGAAATCATCTAGTTATTCATGACTTGTTTTTTGAATAACTTCAACATGCTGTTTTTTTTTTTTTTTTGAGTATTATTTGAATCACATACACATATTCTTTTAAAACTTCAACAGGTAATATGGAAGGTTTTTAAAAATCTTTATGTTATCTTTTGAATACTAAATAACTGCAGCCTTTGCCAAGAGATACGTGAAAGACGTCTGTATTTAAACCGTTTATTCATCTGAATGTTTTATTTCTTTTCATCAAAATGATTTGTAGGGTTTGAGAGGAAGAGAAAATAGTAGATCATCTACCTGTAGATTCTTCTTCCATTTCCATTTTGCTTCTGATTGGCTTTGTGCTTCTTACGTTCTTGGCCTTTGCCAGCATTTATGAAATAAAGATGCTGTCATAATTGATACTAGTAGGTTTTAAAAGGCCGTCTGAGGAGTGATGCTTCTGTATTTTATCAGGAGCACATCTCCACTGGGGAGGAATGTTTTCTTTCCCCTTTTCCAATCTAGACCAGATGGGATTTATGACTTTAACCTTCTGCTTCTCTTACCATATCAATTTATATTTTCAGCTGAAAAAAATCAAATGTTCTCAGAACCACTTTTTTCTTGTTGGAAACAATGACATTTAGGTCTAACATCTCCACTCTGTGACGCCTTCCCATAGAAGTGGTATACAAAAGGTCCTTAGGCTTGGGTCTGTGTAATGGAGCTTGGGGGTTAGAAGCTGGCATGTTTTTCATTCTGGAAGTGTTTAGATGAAGTTCTGCAAATGTTACTCACAGCCATTGCCTTTGCACATTGTTTGCCTGTGATATCCAGCAATCTAAATCTGGAGGAGAATTACAATAAATCAAAGGTTATCAAAAGCACCAAGTAAATGTATTAAAGAATCCTAGATCAACCTAGAACTTTCATATTAAAAGAGAAAACATAGATACATGTTGAACAGAAATGACTTTTAGAAGTTTTTAGTAGAACTAATAACCCTTTTTATGACATGTTTTGGGGATAGGATTGAGGTTGAAATTGTCTCTTTATTTGCAAACAACTCAGTATTAGAAAGATTCTGTAAGTATTTATTAGTCCCAGTAACCAACTGAGAACTAGAGTCATTGAAGTGTATGTGTAGAAATAAAATGGTGAAAGCTAAGATTTATGCGCTCTTACTTTGATCTTGTTTTCAGTGAATACCCTATTCAGCGGTCAAAGAAAGATTCTGAGGGAATAGAGATGGGAGTCGCAGGTTCTGTAAGCCTTCTGCAGAATGTTACGTTGTCCACCCAGCCCATTTCAAGTTTGGATTGGAGTCCAGATAAAAGGGGTCTTTGCGTCTGTAGTTCATTTGACCAAACGGTGAGAGTACTAATCATTACGAAACTCCATAAAATTTGACTTCAAGACTTTGGACTCACAGAATTTAAGATAGGTTCTGGAATCCTCTGACCCTCATTGAACAAAGCTGGATTTGGCTGATGACAAAAGCCCCCAGACACAAGCCCCTGGGCCAGCCTCCAGCCTCTCCTGGGGCGTGTTTGCCAACTTGCTTGCTGCTGCGCGTGGGTATCAGAAGCACGGAGTAAACTGTCTCCAGGGCCAGTGCTTTTCTTCTCCCTTCCATTTCTAAGTTAATAGTTGTCTATAATTAAACATATTTCAGATTTGTTCTGTGTCCGTGAAGTTCCATATTTTATCTTTATGCTTGTGTTATGTTTTAGTGTCTATAATGTTGTGGTGGGAATCATTTCATTTGGTTTAAAAGAGTTTGCCTTGGAAAAACGGAATTAACCTTCAGAAATACATTTTGAGAGATTTCAGTGTCAGTAACTTTCTGGACATAACATTATTGTATAAAATATCAAAATGGTGGGCCAGGCATGGTAGCTCACGCCTGTAATTCTAGCACTTTGGGAGGCTTAGGCGGGCGAATCACGAGGTCAGTAATTCGAGACCAGCCTGGCCAACATGATGAAACCCTATCTCTACTAAAAATACAAAAAATTAGCTGGGCGTAGTGGCGGGCGCCTGTAATCCCAGCTACTCCGGGAGGTGGAGGTTGCAGTGAGCCGAGATCGCAACCACTGCACTCCAGCCCTGGCGCACAGAGTGACACGACTCTGCTCCTTGAAAATATCACATATATATACCTCTCGTCTCCTCTCCTCAAAAATGCACCGGCGTTGCGTCCTACGATTTTGCGGTAACACTATTTCCAGCAATCTTTTAAATTTCATACAAAACAAAATGATATGATGTTATAAAGCTCTTTTTTACTTAAAATACAGGAATTGCGAAATGTGAGACTTTTGGTTCCATTGACCTGTGGGCTCAACCGTGGGTTGGTGCACATGTACAAGATTCGTAGGTTCTTGTAGTCCTGTATTTTTGCGGTCAATCACTTTAAAAATGCATTTTATGAAGTAAACTTGTTTTTTGAGATCTACGGAAGCTTTGATTTCTGTTAGCCTTAACACGCCTAAGTCAATATCGAAGTCTTAACATTCGTTCACAGTTCATTTGCTTTATAAATTGCTTAAATTAGTAGTTAATTCACTTTGCTTTCTTTAATGTTCACCTTCATGCTTAGCCTTGGAATTATTGACTTTAAACATCACACTTTCCATTAACCTACCCTCCCCGTCTCCACCGAAGAGAATGTCAGCCACGTAAAAAACATTCAAAATGTGAACAATATATGGTGAATTTCAGGGGATCATGGAGAGTCACCTTCATTGAAATACTGTCACGCACAGAACAATTAAGGTTGTTTCTTTTTTTCCTAGTTTCCAGTGTTCTTACTAGATATAACTGCGCTGTGGACTATAATTAATGCAAGATCAAAAAAACTTTTCAGAAAAAACAAAATTGAACGCTTTAAAAAAGGCTTATTATCTGTAGCGTTTTTGTTTTCAAAATTTGCAACTCTGAAAAAAAGGAAACTTCGCAGAAGCTCTTCTTAGAAACACTTGTATTTCGTAAGCTCAGAGTCAACACAACTAAATACCTGTATTCTTAATGAAATCATAACAGATGTCATGCCGATACCACTGATGAGCTATGCCATTCAAGAGAACCGAGCCAACTAAAACATTCAATAATACTGTAAAATGTATGTGATTTCAAGTGATCATGGAGAGTCAT